CCGCTTCCTTCTATTAGGCGTGGTTCGCCTCTTTGGCGAACCACCGCTTTACCTCTCTGGCAGAGGTCTGCTTGCGGGTGAGGTTTGGTTGTCAGCCGAACTTGGTGAGGTTCGCCTGATTTAGATAGCCCGCGTGATTTAGCCAGTTCGCCAAATTTGAGAACTTTATCAATGGAGGAAAGCCCGCCTGAGTAAGTGGGTTCGCCTAATTGACGCAGTTCGCCAAAATTGGGAATGTGGCCCGTAAAGCGAAGCCCGCCTGTATTAGGGGGTTCGCCTGATTTGCCCAGTTTGCCAGATTTGGGAAGTTTGCTCACAGAATGAAGCCCCCCCTGAATTGCTGAGCTCGTCTGGAACGCCAAGTTCGCCAGTTTTGGGAACTTCGCCAATGGAGCAAAAAACGCCTGAGTAGGTGGGTTCGCCTGATTGATGCAGTTCGTCAGAATTGGGAACTTTGTGCTCTTGCTTGGCTCTTTTCGGGCCTGAATAATAATTCAGATCGTCATAGGAGATGAGGGCATGCGCCTCTTGGCAAGCAAGAGCTTGTCACCGTTGTTTGGCTCTCTTTGAGAGAGGAGAATTCACGTTGACGGTGAAGGCGTGGCCGCTAACACGAACCGTTGTCTCGTCTTGCACAGGGGCCTGCGTGGATTGCTTGACAACCCAACGAGCAGCTCTTTGGTTTGCATTATTAGCCTTTGGCTCGGCCTCAATAGGTTTTGGGGAGATAGAACCCCCTGCCTTTGCTCGGGTAGAGCATTCAGGCGTGGTTACCTTGGTCGCTTGGGGCTAGACCACACGCACAACTTTACGGCACTTGTGAGATGCTTTGCCGCCAGAAGAGGATGAGGACAAGTGTTCTTCATACTTGGCTTGGTCGAACTCAATTACGAGGGACTCAACAGTTGTCCCCGTCGTAAATTCGTCGAATTGCGTCACCACTAGTTCGTCAGAACGAATAGTTTCTCCCATTGTGGTCGTCATCTTTTGTAGGATGTAAAATTGTTCTCAAAAGATTTGTATTAACTGAGTTGTGTGTTACAAATCAAAATCAAATTACAATAGAAGCGAAGAGAATGATTTGATCTCTTCTTGTTTAACGCGGATTCTTCGGTAACGATAGGATGCCTCCCTCGAATACTTGCATCGAGATTGCTTTCCTTGGACGATTCAATCGAAATTACGATTGAACTTCAGCGTGCGGTAGAAGTTATTGTGATTGAGTTCTAAATACCCGAACTTGATGAGTATCAAGGCCGAATGCTCAAAATCGGCAAAAATTGGTTCTTTTTACACCCCAAAAGAATTGAATGCTAAAGAGAATTCGATCTCAAGAGGCTAGAATGCAAGAGTTTGCACAGAGCCGAGAATTAGAGCTAAATCCAAGATCTCAACAGCTAAAATTCGATAGCTAGAAGATAAAAATCCAAGATCTCCCTCCTCTGTAGTCGTCCATGGCTATTTATAGAAGAGGATGGTTGTAACCAACCCCTCAAATCGTGAGAAGTGAGCATAACCACTTTCACAAATCAAGCAATTGGTTAAAAACCGCTCAGGCGAACTAGCAGGTGAGCTAGGCGAGCTTGCGTGCATGCTAAATGCTCCGACGAGCTTGTAGGCAAGCTAGGTGAACATGCGAGGTTGGCTGGCGAACCCCTTAAACGTTTAGGCGAGCTTAACTTTGTTGGTGAGCTTGGTTCGTGTGGACGAACCTCTTGTAGGATCTGAAATAGATACACTAGTAGATTTTTATTTTTTGACTCAGAGTAGTTGACTATAGATGAAATTAGTCGACTACACTGTAAACGACAGATAATCCAGTCCCCAAGCAAATCCCGCTTGAGAGTTTCCACTATGATTTTGAATAAACTTATAAAATCAAAATCAAACCTGACCAGTTTGCAAGTCCCTGCAAATTACAACACCAATTGGCAAACACCTTGCCAATTTGCACACCAATCTCTAAACCAAGAGATTAACACCTCTCACAAACCGAGAGAATTTTTGAAGCAACAATTCAGTTCGTATAAGCCTTGATTTGTAGTGTAGTGTAGTAGTGGCTTAGGAATTATTCTAACTTCTGTAAATTGCATGACAAGTATTTTAATGAGGATCAAGGGCATTTTCAGAAAACTTTTTTTTCTCAAAATCTAAACTTTTTTTTCTCAAAATCTAAATTTTTTAATACTTGAAAGATGCACAAATATCAAAGCTTATGGGTATGAAAATTTTCGTGCATTTTTCTGAACAAATAACCTATTTATAGCCCTTGAAAAGACAAGAATTTGAACTTTAAAAAACGTTTAAAAAACGGCTATAAACAGTCATTAATTCAAACTTTAAAATCTGAAAAACAGTATCTGTAGTCGACTACAAGACATAGTAGTCGACTACACTGAGTTAAATTCGACTTAGTGAACCAGAAAATTTCTTAGTAGTCGACTATAATAAGCATTAGTCGACTAGTCATGTGTTTTACAGAAACATGACTGATAATTTTGTAGTCGACTATATTAAGCATTAGTCGACTAGTCATGTGTTTTACAGAAATATGACTGACAATTTTGTAGTCGACTATATTAAGCATTAGTCAACTAGTCATGTGTTTTACAGAAATATGACTGACAATTTTGTAGTCGACTATATTAAGCATTAGTCGACTATAAAATGTAAAAAAATATGTATGAAATGTTTTGATACTTAATATAGAGGATTTCTATAATTAACCAACACACTAAGCCTGTGTTAGTGTGTTCTAATATTTATGTGTGTGTGTGAGGTTAACCAACACACTAAGCCTGTGTTAGTGTGTTCTAATATTTATGTGTGTGTGTGAGTGATCAAGGCTTGTACAATAATGTGTTCTAATATTTATGTGTGTGTGTGAGTGATCAAGGCTTGTACAATAATTCTAAGTAAAGAAAATATGAAATACATTATCTCATATGTTCTTCATCTTCTTCACTTCATAATGCCATGAACTCAACTTGCACTTGTTCATATTTTGATATTGAAAGCTGCATATAAATGTTAGTGCATTTGTATAACACACATTGTATAAATTGTTATCATCAAAATAATATCATGAAGACATGATATTCAACATTCTCCCCTTTTTTGATGATGACAAACAATTTATGCATATGTAAGTATCTTAGAAACATTATGAAATAAACATACTTACTCCCCCTACATATATGCATATTAGAGTCTATAACATTATATGAGTCTAATATTTATATCATTTCTCCCCCTTTGTTATCAACAAAAAGAGATAAACATTTGTGCTAAACATGACATTATTTCTTCAACATGAGCTAATACTTCAAACAAATCATCCAGATTATGAACATAGTCCATAACTTCACCCATCCAAATAGGTAGGCAAAGACTTACCATATTATGAACATAGTCCATAACTTCACCCATCCAAATAGGTAGGCAAAGACTTACCATAAAGACCAAAAATTTCACAATGTTCATCACCACAATCTGTTTAAAATATATAGCACATATATTAACTATACTTGACATAGTAATGTAAACACATAATCAACATATTTGACATATTAGCAACAAAACACATTACATATGTCTTAATACCAACCCGCAAATAGATAGTTTTTGATACTTAAACATAGATAACTAACATAAAACATAATTGTTTTGAAACTAAATACTAAAACATGCAAATCTAATATGATGCATACATAAGTGCTGGAGGAGGTTGATGTCCTTGGAAAAATGCGCTAAGCTTCGTGTCCAAGACATCAAACTTCTTGATTAGCTCTTCTTGATTACTAATAATATAGGAATTCTGAGAATATAGAGCTTTTTGACCAGTATCAAGCTCAAGAATACGTACAGATAGTGTGTTGTACTGCACATCTAAAAAAACATGAAGATTCTGAAGGAAATAGTGGTGGTGGTTGACTAGATGAAATTCCGGCTTGATGAGATGATTGAGGTATATCATGTTGTTGTTCTTGAGTAGGTGGAGGCTCATCGTGAGGATTTTGATCATGAATTTCAAAATTAGTTAACTTCATTCTTTTAAGAGCATTGGAGTCAAAAAATTCGACGGTTCGAAAAACCAATTTTTCAGAAGCTAGATCGACATTGAATTTTTCAATGACTTTTGTTAAGAAAGCACAATAAAGAAGAGATCCTTTTGGTATTGCCAACATAATTTCATAATAAACGACAACCAAATTTACTTGAATATTTCCCATAATAGCATAAAGAGCTTTTGCTAAATCTATGGAAAGGAAATGAAAGCTAAGCTTCGTGTCCAAGTCATCAAACTTCTTGATTAGCTCTTCTTGATTACTAATAATATAGGAATTCTGAGAATATAGAGCTTTTTGACCAGTATCAAGCTCAAGAATACGTACAGATAGTGTGTTGTACTGCACATCTAAAAAAACATGAAGATTCTGAAGGAAATAGTGGTGGTGGTTGACTAGATGAAATTCCGGCTTGATGAGATGATTGAGGTATATCATGTTGTTGTTCTTGAGTAGGTGGAGGCTCATCGTGAGGATTTTGATCATGAATTTCAAAATTAGTTAACTTCATTCTTTTAAGAGCATTGGAGTCAAAAAATTCGACGGTTCGAAAAACCAATTTTTCAGAAGCTAGATCGACATTGAATTTTTCAATGACTTTTGTTAAGAAAGCACAATAAAGAAGAGATCCTTTTGGTATTGCCAACATAATTTCATAATAAACGACAACCAAATTTACTTGAATATTTCCCATAATAGCATAAAGAGCTTTTGCTAAATCTATGGAAAGGAAATGAAAGCTCCCCCTTTTTGGAAACATGTTATATGCTAGGATTCTAGCAATGAAACAAGGAATTGGACGAAATTTATTTAAATTGTTCAATGGTTTTCCATAACCTGGAAGAAAGATGTGATTAGATAATAAATTCTCATCATGTATACTACATAAGAATTGGACGGAGTTTATTGGAAACATGTATACTACAATAAAAATAAACCACAGAAGGTTACGAGATTTGTTCCTGAAAGAGTGCTGTTTCATTATCAGTTAAAACATTGAAACGACTCGTGCAAGCCACTATTCTTTATTCGGGAAAAAGACATTATTACTTCTAGGTTTAACCTAGGAAATTAATACCACTCCCAGAACCAAGCTCTGGTGGTGACAAAGAATAATAACCCTTTTTTTTTTAAATTCAGCAGTAAACCCTAATTAAAAATTTACATGACAGTCTCCAAGATAAAAAGGCCTGAAAACAATACATCTACGAACCAATGCAGAACTTCCCTGGTTCGGTATAGTTCATCACCAGCTGCTCGACTTTGTCAATTATGAAGCCTCTGATTCGCATTTCCTCTGGAAAGGAGCTGTCCTTGTAATCTATGTGCTTCAGGATCCATCCCTTGTTTTGCACACTCCCAGTCAGTTTCACCTACAAGAAAATGAATTTAGTTTATTTTTTATATATGCATGTTTTCTAACTTTAGATATATGCATGGTGCAGTGTCGAACGAAGATGAGCACGTTTACCAATTAACTCATAGTAACTGTCGTTCATGGAAATTGGTTAGGATAGTGGTAAGTGCACTAGATTATTGGTACTACTAACATACTACTAAGGTCAATCTTTGAATCGGGTATTATTGAGGTAACGACGAGTCCTCACCCTTCAAAATAGAAATAAATAGTGAGATGTTGGGTTCAAAATTTTAGGGGCGATTAAGTTAGACAATTCAGTCCTCTTAAATGAAATAGTCCAAATATTTTGAACTAAACAACAGGGGATGGGGTGTAATTGTAGTCCTGAAACTATTTACCACTTGGGATTAGATTTGAAAAGATCACTTTACCCCTAACTTGCCTGAAGTTATCAACTGTTTTTTTTTATCTATAATTATTTCCCTCACCCAGCTGCTGACATCTACCTATACCCAAGAGGGGGGGGGGGGGGCGGGGTAAGTCACCCACAAATCTGACTGGAGACTTTTTGTTCATCCCAATTGAAACATCCATGTCATCCATGATA